CCCAGCACGTGCTGCCCCGGGGGGTGTCCTTCCGCAGAGCCCCTTCTGCCCGACGGGGGCGCAGTCACGCTGGAGCCGCACCACCGCAGGAGCTACTGGGCGAGGATCAGGGTGCGGGAAGCAGGACTCCCCAGAACCCATTCAGTGCCCGCCGTCTCCACTTCCTACCACAAGACTGGGCCCTTGGCGGAGCTGGAAGAAAGCTGAAGGCTCCAGCTCGTGCACGTGCTGGAGAGAGGGTCTCTGAAGTGGGGGGGTGAGGGGAGCTCCTGTAGGAGAACCCGTGGCCGCTCCAGCAGCTGCTCGCCTGCCCTCATGTAATCAGTTCGGAGAGAACTGCGTAAGAACCAGGAAGCGTGAGCCGTGCGGCCTTACCCCAGGACCCAGGTCTCCAACAGACACACGAGGCTATCTCCCCAGGGAAACCAGATGAGTCCCCAACCTCACCCTGGGCCCATTCCTGTGTGTGCACTGAGACCCTACCCCTGTCTCACAGAGAGGCAGCCCCGGGCAGCGAGAGCCAGGGCTCCACCAGAAGCAGGGCATTAGGAAGGGGCCTCCTCTCCTGAGTGGGTGGCAGCCCCAAGTGTCAGCTTCCAGCTGTGCAGTAGGTAAGGGAGGAACCCCTGAATGGAAGACAAGGGGTTTGGACCTAGCCCAGCTGTGCCCCGGAGGGTGGCAGGACCCTGGCCTAGACTCCCTGGGACTCAGTTTCTCTCTGTGGGGTAGATGGAAAGATGGGAATCAGACAATCTGGAAGTCAAGGAGTGGTCAGTGGAGGGGGATTCCTGTCTTCCATCTCAGAGGTGCTGAGGTTCTGCCCCGTTCCCCCCCACCCCCACCCCACTCATGCGTTTGAGGCTTTGATTGAAATTAAAATCCTGTACGAAGTGCTGAGGACAGAATGGTAGAACTAGACAGAACCTGAGAAACCAGAATTATTCCATGTGTTTCACAGACAGGGCCCAGGGCCCAGAAATGACCCCGTTATGGGCACGCGGCTCGTCAGTGTCAGGTGCTGATGGGGAGTGGGGGGCGGGGGGGCTCTAACACCACCCCCTGGGCTGGGAGCTCAGTTCCTACCTCAGGCTCCTCGGGATCCAAAGTCCACAGGCAGGTGCTTCTCAGAGGGTGTCGGCCACAGTGAGTCATGACATGGCAAACGGGTGACTCAGCATGAGGCATTCCCCACACACCACCGACCCACTGTCTTTTGTGAGCAGTTAATTCCCAAGCTGCTTATGGCTTTTGACACCTTTGAGGTGTATTTTAAATTCTGAGAAATGACTAAAAATATGCTTTGGCATGTTGGGTATGACTGACTGTGACGGAAGGGTTAGAAAAGCAGATTTCATTCTGAAAGTTGCCTCGCTGCCTCTTTCCAGCTTGCCGAGTCCAAGCCTGCAAAGCCGGACAGGGGAAGTTCCTATGGGCGGTCTGGGATGACAGGTGACTAAAAAGGTAAAGACAGACCTAGGAGCTCCATGGGGCTGGGGTTAGGTCCTGGCAATGACCCTCATGTGCGATGGTACCAGCTGGAGCACAGTGTCCGACTGTGAGACTGTCCAGCTGTGAAGGAGGCACAGCCACGGCTGTAAGCCCAGCCTTAGGGGCCCCTTCTGCTTCCCCCAAATTCCTCATCCTTTCAGCCATAGTCCTTTCTGGCTGTGTGGCCCCCCGGCAAGTGACAGCAGCCTTCTGAGAGCCTCTGGCAGTCATGAGACCATTGGTCAAAGGACTTCTAGGGTTCTGTCTCCATATCACCAAGGAAGCAACTGGGAGTTCAGTCTACCTCTCCTCCACCCATCCCCCTACATGAGAATGTTTCCAGCTCAGGCTTCAGTCTCTTCCCTTCTCACATGGCACACTCTCCCCTGGCAGCTTCTCACCAAGGCATGGGCTTTCAGCCCTCACCCCGTGCCCATGACACACCAATCTCCATCTCTAGACACAACCTCATCTCCAAGTACTAGGTCCATATGCAGTCTTCTGCACATTCCCTCCTAGACCTCCCACAGCTCCTTGAACTCAGCACATCCGAAATGGAACTCATCATCTTTTTCCTAAACCTCCCCCACCCCAGTATCATTTATCTCTTGACAAATAGCATCATCATCTACACTGTCACCAAGCCGGAAATCTGGGAGCCATTTGGGACTCCTTCTTCTCGCTCAACTCCCACATCTAAGTCCCTTCCATTTGCTCCTCTAATATCTCCCAAGGTCTGCATTGCTCACTGACTTAGTACAAATCTCTCCATCTCACTTGGACCCTTTTAAAGCTCAGCACCACCTGCCCCAACATCCTCCTCTAGTCTTTTCTCAATATTTCTTGCCAGCAATTTTCTAAATCACACGTATGACCCCATCACTACCCTACACAAAAACATTTCATGTCTCCTTACTGCCTGTGGGATTAAAAATATCTAAGTTCCCTAAAAAAATATATCTAAGGTCCTTAATATGATCTCCGAAACCTTTCATAACGCTTTGTGACCCATGCCAACCTCTAGCCTCAGATCCTGCTGCCCATCTCTCAAAATTACATTCCACCACACAGAAAATTGAGCTCCATAAACTCACGCATAGTTATACTTCCTGGAGCCCAGAGGAGTGGCAGGAGTTGGGGCCACTTGTGTATAGTTCCTGCTCTCCCATCCACACAAAAGCCCTTGTCCTGCCCTAGCCGGTTTGGCTCAGTGGATAGAGCGTCAGACTGCAGACTGAAGGGTCCCAGGTTCGATTCCGGTCAAGGGCATGTACCTTGGTTGCGGGCAACATCCCCAGCAGGGGGTGTGCAGGAGGCAGCTGATCAATGCTTCTCTCTCTCTCATTGATGTTTCTAACTCTCTATCCCTCTCCCATGTTTCAGTACCACGGAGAGCGTCACATGGGCTGGTCCCCCTCCCCAGGCTCTCTCCTCTTTGTTTTGCCTACGCTGTCTACTTAGTTGCCTCCTCCCACTTATTATTTAGAAACCCAGCGCAGACATGGTTTCCTCCAGGAAGCCCTTCTTGAGCCAGCTGAGCAACTGTCATTTCCTCCTCTGAGCTACCTGAGTAACCTGTGTGTCCCTCCATCCCACCCACACATTGTGCTGATGTTTGTCCACCCACACACACACCCGCCCCACATTAGGCTCTGAGTCCCCAGGGCCCATACCCTGTCTGATTCATCCCTGCCGTCCAGTACACAGGAGGTGTTCAGAGAATGTTTGTTGATTGAATGAGTAAATGACATTTAGCAGGTGCTCAGAAGTATGTGTTGATTTGTATCATGTGTCTATTGCTCTCAGCGACTCCAAAACCAGCCAGATTCCTCTCCCGGCCCTTCTGGAAAAGGCATTTTCTCCCAGATTGACTCCACCCTCCATTAGCTTCTAAGTGCCATTTTTGTCCGCCCTTTTATTACCTTCTCCAGGTCACCACCCGCAAGTGGGGAGAAGGCACCTGGCCAGGTGTTCCCAGCTCGGATTTGTTGGAGCCCCTCCATCCCCAGCCCAGGCCTGCTCAGGAGTTTTCTCACAATGCTTCGTCTCTGCCTCTCTCTCCTGCTCAGAACAGATGGCTCTGAGTCCCCACAAACACAGGCATTTCTGTTCTGTCATCTGAACATGTTTAACACTTTCTAAATGACAGAAGCTTCATCCTCCTCTGGTCATGGACACAGACCATCAGAAAAGAAGAACCCCTTGAAAGACATCGAATCCAGCCTCTTCCCTTTCCCATGGAGAGACTGCATCTGAGATAGGACCAGTGGCCTGCCCAAGACCATTGCAATGGACACCATGTTTGTTCTCTTGTTTTTTATTGTTTTGTGGGGGGGGGGGTCTTTTTTTCCCCTTTCATTGCTGTTTTGTTTTGATGTTCAGAGTCCATCCCCTCTCCTAACAGCACCCTCGTTTCCTGATCTTAGTGGAGTTAGACATCAAGGCATGGCATAGGACAGTGATGGTGAACCTTTTGAGCTCGGCGTGTCAGCATTTTGAAAAACCCTAACTTAACTCTGGTGCCGTGTCACATATAGAAATTTTTTGATATTTGCAACCATAGTAAAGCAAAGTCTTATATTCTTGATATTTATTTCATATATTTAAATGCCATTTAACAAAGAAAAATCAACCAAAAAAATGAGTTTGCGTGTCACCTCTGACACGCGTGTCATAGGTTCGCCATCACTGGCATAGGATCCTCTTGCCCAGTGTTTTAAATCTTGAGTAGGGTGGCAAAAGAACAGGGAAAATCTGTCTGGAGCTTGGTGAAGGCCGCCCAGTAAGATGATCCAAGGAGCCCTGGCTCCTGAATCTCCTATCTTCCCATCAATTTTGTGAACTCCTGGTGTGCTTCCAATACATTTCCTTCCGACTTAAGGTAGTTTCTGTTGCACACAACCCTACCACCCTAACTGGCGTGGCCACACAGAAGGAGCACGTGCAGTCACATACCTCTTGCTGCCTCCTGACAGCTCTGTCTCTAGAGTCTGCATCAAACCAAGGAACCTCACAGGCCTCCCACCCCCAAACCCACCAGGCATGGAGGAAAGACAGACACTTCAGGGACTAAAGCAGGCAGGCTGATGTCTGGTGTTGCAGGGGAACAGCCAGGGTTGGGGTGATCATCTCGATACACATGTTCAATCCTTCAAGCCTGGGGTCAGGGCGGAAGAAGAGCTTTTATCAAGACCCTGTAAACACATCTCCACATGCTCGTACACCAACACAGAAAGGAGCAGCACAGGCACACACACTGCAGGCACACCCGCATGCCAGGATGACACCTGGGACCTGGCATGCGGCACGTTTCTGGGAAGAGCAGTTCATACATTGCGGGAGCAGGTCAGGCTTGAGGACCTCAACCTGTTGAGCAGCATGTTCCCTCGTGACATTCCCAACAAACAAGTCCCGAGTATTAGTGACGGGGATTACAAAGCAAATGCCCTTTAAGCCAGACAGGTGTGTTCCAGTGGCCACTCCTCTGCTCTACTCTGAGTGGCTGAGCTCACACCGACCTACACCTGTGACCTCAGCGCAGTCTGGTACTGGTCTCTCCCTCCCAGAGTCCACCAGGCCCGAAGCTCCCACTCTGCTTCAAACCACTTCCGATGATAACATCCTATAAACTCCTGCCCAGCATCTTGTCTAGCTCAGTCCTGAGAAGCTCCACCCACCCTGCCCAGCAACCCAAACACCAGAATCCATTGAAGTCAGAAGAAACTGTCCCAGATTACAGGACTCAAGCCCCAACTCCTCAGCTTGCATCTGAGCCCCTCTGGTCCCAGCCAGTCTCTCCTGCCTCCTTTCCCTCCCCTAAAACACACACGCACTCTCCTCTCCTGCCACACCATACCTCCCCCTCTCCCCCCCATCATTCATCACAGACCTGCTCCATTTCCCATACCTTGGCCTGGTCTCTTCCTTCCACTGGGAATTCCCTTCCCCCACAACTTCTGCTATTTGCCAGCTCCTAGGCCACCTCCCCAAAGGCTTCTGAGGGATGTAATCCGTTCCTCGGCCCATAGGTGTGCCTCACTAGGCCTAGCTGGTCAGAGGCACAGGTAACAACCTGGACTTGGGTTTGGCATCAGAAGTGAGGGGAGTGGGGGAGGCTTGTAGGACTGAACCCTTAGCCTGTAGGGTCTGACGCCATCTCTGGGTAGACTGTCAGAACCGAGTGGGACTTCAGGACACCCAGCTGGCGTCAGAGAATTGCTTGGTGCCGTAGGAACCCCCCACCCACATGGTAATTGGGTGCAGAACCCTTTACTAAATATCCTCAGGAATCCTTTTTCTTATCACGGGACAGCTCCCCCCATTTCATGAGCTCCAAGTGTCAAATCCTGGGTTGAGGGGCTGGTCGGCGTGGTGTGGCCTCTCCTGGGGGAGAGCTGGGCCTGGAGAACAGGCGTGGGCTGAGCGAGAGTCTATAGCTCCTGGAACTTGTCCCATCCACCAAAGAGCACAGGGAGGGCACACAGGGGGCAGGGATGGAGCAAGCAAGGGCCAGGAGGTGAGCATAGGGCTGGGTCACTGCCCTGCCCACAGCTGCTGGGAGACAGGCACAGCCTGGCACAGGGAAGGGGGCGATCAGCAAGTAAACAAGCGATCGCTTGGCCGGGCACCAGGGGAGGGGAGGGGAGCTCATGCTCACAGGCGGAAGAACATGCCGCCCGCCTGGAAGCTGCTGATCTCCTGCAGGGCCCACTGCGCCCAGCTGCTCTGAGCCCAGTGGGAGTCCCGCAGAGCCAGCCCTCCTAGTGGGCTGTGCTAGGGTCAGAGCGTGGGGACGGGGTGGGGGCCAGTGTGCAGAGCAAGGCACAGCCAGGAGAGCTCCTGCTCAGCCCTGTGAGCCCCGCGTGGTTGGGGCGGCTGGGTCTGCGCAGGCTTGGGCACGCCTCCGTGCAGCTCCCTGGAACTTGAAGCCACACACCCACACCGCACCCTCGCAGAAACCTATCTCCAGGACTACGGGTTCGGCCCCCGCCTTTTGTTCAGAGGCTGACTTCACGGAGAGGGGTGTCCTGGGCCTCCTGGCCCTGCAGAGTGGGGACACTGAGTCACAGTGGGAAGTCCAGGGTGGAGAGGCCTAGAGACCCATCTGAGCGGCTCCCTCAGTTTCCCCACCTCTTCCTTTCCTGCTCCCACTCCCAGCAGAGGCACGGCGAGACTATAAATAACACAATGGCCCAAAGGCCTGAAATCCATGGGCTTTGTACTGGCCAGACTTTAATCAGGGCCTCCTGACAGACAGGCTGAGGACCCCAGGCTAGAGCAGCCCCGTGCTGGGTGCAGGCGCAGGCCCAGGCCTCCCACGGAGGGTGCTGATAGCTCAATTCCCAGCCCCGCCACAGGCACGGCCAGCTCTCTAGCTGGGAGCAAAGACATGGCAGGTGCAGCTCGGCCAGAGTCCCAGAGCCACAGCCAAGGGTGAGCAGAGGCACTGACACTGTGGAGACCAACAACGGGGTTGCAGACAGGGTGGGTGGGACTCCTCGCTGCGGGACTGGGGGGCCTCAGGAGTCCTCTGTGGCAGCGTCCGTGCCAGGAAGCAGGCGTTGGCACTCCACATCCTCGTCATCCGGGGTCCCTGTGTGAGGAAAAGCTCAGCCAACCCCAAAGGAGGCAAAAGGAGCTCTGGGACCAGGCCTGTCAGGAAGTCCTCTAGCTTCCATTTTCAAAACGAATTCCAAATCCGACCCCGTCTTCAATGCCACCACCACGGTCCCAGCCCCGCTGCTCTCCCTTGAGGCTGCGGAGCCTCCTGTGGCCTCTCTGCATCACTGCCAAGCCCCTACAGTCTGTTCTCAACACAGAAGCCAGAGTGATGCTTTTGCAGGATAAATCAGTTGCCTTAAGGCTCATCTGCTGGAAATCCCACAGGGCCCCCATCTCACTCAGAGTTAGAGCCCCAGTTCCCACAAGGGCCCCTCGAAACACCCCATGCTCTGACCCCGTTGCTGCCACCCTTATGCCTTTCCCCTCGCTCCTGCTCCAGCTACACTAGCCTCCTTGCCAGTCCTCAAACACATCAGGTACATCCCACCACAGGGCCTTTGCACTAGCTGTTTCCTCCCCGCAGACAGCTGACTGGCTCATGCCCTCAACTCCAAATCTTTGCTCCAATGTCACCTGTGCAGTGAGGACCTCCCTCATCATCCTTTTGAAAATTTTAAACTGCCCCTACCTGTTCCTCTCGGCCCACTTTTCCTGCTTTATGTCTCTCCGTAGCACTTATCACCTCAAACACACTCCATCTTTTGCTTTTTGTTTGTTTGTTTCATGAATCTCTGCCTTCTAGAGCATCAGCTCCATGAGAACTTGGACTTGGCATTCACTTGCCAGCATCTGCAACCTTGCCTGGCACATAGCAAGGGCATAATAACTATTTTTGAATGAATGAATGAATGATGAATGAATGAACAAACAAATAAACTGGCCAGGAGCTCAGGGGGTGGCTGGTGCTCCTTGCTCCTATGGGGTTCAGCCCTGAGCCTGGCATGGGTGTGAGGGGTGGAGGTACCTGAGCCAGGCTGCTGGGCCTGTGCCTGGTCTTGCTCCAGGTGCAGTGCAACCTGCAGGAAGCAGCCGCCCCCCAGGACGATGGCGAAAGCACAGCACAGGAAACTCTGCTGAAGGCTGAGGAAGCGCTGCAGGTAGGTATTGGGGCGTCTGGCCCGCAGGACACTGGAGATCTGCAGAGAAGGGAGGCTGGGGCTGCAGGCCCACCAGGGCAGCTTGCAGGCCTCACCACATGCATTTCCTCCCCAGACCTTCCCCACCTCACACACACTCAGGCCCGCCCGCAGCCCAGCCACCCACATGGCCTTACCAGTCCAATGAGATAGGGGCTGCTGGCGTCTCCCAGGACGTGGCCCACTGTGATCTGAAGCGCCTCTGCGGTCCCCCGGCATTTGGGCAGCACCACTGACTGTAAAGCACAGGAGCCCCAGGGTAGCTCTCCAAGCGAGGGCAGGGAGTGGGTGCCCCCTCATGCCCCCACCTGCTTCTCTCCTGCCAAGACCCGGAGGTGTGATAGGCTGGCCCAGGGAATACAACGCAAGGGAGTCAACGACCCCAGTGCCTGAAGCCCCACCACCAAATGGCAGGCCCCACCGAGGTTCAGGAAGACTCCCTGGTCTCCCAGGATGGGGGTGCCAAGGCCCCTGCTGAGGCCACCCCTCTTGAGGGTTTGCTCTTAAACTAGCAGGGACAAGGCATGGCTGGGACAACAGAGGTGGGTGGGGCCTTCCATCTCAGGGGCCCGGAAAGCAGCAGTGCAGGCTGCCAGGGTGAAAGTGGGTACACCGCCAGGTGCAGGCATGGTGGGCCCTTGGGCAGGACAGAGGAAGGACAGCTGGGCCTTTCTCTCAGAAGTTCAAGCCCACCCTAGCTGGTTTGGCTCAGTGGATAGAGCATCGGCCTGGGGACTAAAGGGCCCCAAGTTGGATTCTAGTCAAGGGCACATGCCCAGGTTACAGGCTCGATCTTCAGTGGTGGGTGATGTTTCTATCTCTCTCTCTCACCCTCTCTCTTCCTCTCTGAAAGCAATAAAAATATTTTTAAAAAGAAGAAGGAGGAGGAGGAGGAGGAGGAGGGGGAGGAGGAGGGGAAGTCCAAGCTCCACTTGGCAGAGACCAACAGCAGCCTAAATGGGGAGGCCCACACAACAACCCGGAAGAGGGTAGGGAGGTTGGGAATATGAATTCTGGGGTCAGGATGTCTGTGTGACTTTGGGCAAGTTGCTTTCTGTGTCTCAGTCTCCTCCTCCCCACGTGGGGATAATAATAGTGCCTCCCCGGAGGGTTATGCTCTTATCGCTCTTCATCTGGTACCTGGAGGCTTCTGTGGACATCGGATGGAAACAGCATCCTACGACTGGGAGGCAGAACGCCTCCGGACATTGGAACGTGCTGTGCCTTCTGCCTGGCCGGCCTTCCCTCTCTGGTCCAGCTGGAGCATCCCTCTTTGTCCTTTGGGACTGACCTTTGGGTCACCTCCTCTGTGAAGCCTTTCAGAGTTCAGGGACCTGCCCTGAGTTCCCACGGCCCTTGTGTAACCCCTCTCGACTCAGGGAGGGAGCTCCTTGTCAGAGAGCCGTGAACAAGGGGATGGACTGCACTCGTCCGATTTTGCAGAGGGTTCACGGACTGAGCAGCTGCCGTGCCAGACCAGTGGTTTCCAGGAGGGCTGGGCAGCAAAGCTCCGAATTTCTCTTGGGGTCCCTGGGGTACAGCGAGGCACCAGGCACAGAGGGGACTGCTACATAAATCAAGTAGATCTGGAAACTGGTCCCAGGAAAAACCCTGCCTGGACCCACAGCTGTGGCAGGGCCCAGGGTGGGGGGTTCAAGCAGAAGCCACACGGTCCCCACGGAGCAGCTACAGGGGAGCCTCCCACTGCAGAGGCTTCTCCCTGAGAGCTAGGTGTCCCTAGAGCCCATCAGAGAGCACTAACAATGAGAATAATCACTAACATGTACTAAATGCTTCCTGTGTGCATATCACTTATATATGTGTACATGTATATATTTATATGTGAATATATATATGTGAGTATATATTTATGTGTGTATGTTTATGTGTGTGTATATATATATATTTAAATATATATGTACATGTATATATTTATATGTGAATATATATATATGTGAATATATATTTATGTGTGTATATTTATGTGTGTGTGTATATATATTTAAATGTATGTGTGTGTGTATATATGTATATATGTATGTACAGATATACACAAATGAATATGCATATGTATATTCAGCCCAGCCATGAGGGGATATGATTATTATCCACATTTTCTCGGTAAGCAAACCTCCCACAGGAAGGGTGAGTAACCTGCAGGGTCACCCAGCCAGGAAACAGCAGGGCTGAGCTTCGATCCCAGGCCTTCTCCCTCCAGTGCCTGGCCTACTGACCACTCAGCCGCTAGGAGCAAGGAGGAGCCTTTCCACAGTATTTATGTGTTTGTTCTAGAACATTTGGAAAGCAGAGAGAAGGATAAGAAGGACAGGTTCATCCCTAGCCCTGCAAACAGGTAGCTGGTAGAGACTGGGGTGGGGCATTCCAGGCCAGGGACAGTGTGAGCAAAGGGAGCAGGAGGCCAGGGACTGGGAGCCGCAGGGGGTCTGGTGAGAGGGGCCTCGTGGGTGGGCAGGGCAGAGTAGTTGGCGTCACTCTTGTGGGTGACCCACTCATCCTGGGGTCACTGGTGCTGAGCCACTCTTTCCAGGTGCTGAGAAAGCGGGGCTTCCCACCCATCACGGCAACCTGCCAACAGGCCTGAGGAGGAACTGACCACAGCGCTGCACCTTCCCCAAGCACTTCCTTCTCACCCCATAATTATGTGATTACTCACTAGCAGTTCTGGGGAAAAGGACAGGAATTCCTAGAGGCCAGGCCCTGAGTGTCCAAAAAAGCCCATTCGGGGGCCAGGGCTGCTTGGACCCTCAGAGTAAGATCCAGGCAGGCTGCTCCCATCCTCCTCCCCGCCCCCCAACCCAGGAACCCCAGGCAGTGGCTAGAGAGGTAGGTCCCCCCAACCCCTTGCCTGCTCTGGGCCCCCTTGTCTCCACGTGGCCATAGGGCCAGGGCTGGGCCCGCCAGCTGCTGGAGAGCCCAGCTGGTCATTGTAGAAGCAAGAGGCTTTTGGGTTCCCAAACACCCGGGCTCGCTCTATTCTGAGACAAATACACCTCTGTTTTTATTCCCCTCCTTAGAGGAGCAGTTCCCTTTATAGCCTGGGGTATAACCAGCGCCAGCCAAGGGCCCACAGAGATTCAGAGTGGCAACCATCAGGTGCAGACCCCCTGGCAGCCTGCCTCCTGCGCTCCCCACTCAGCCCTCACACTGGGACCCCCTGGGAGTGTGAGCAGACACCCCTGAGAGTGTGAGCAGACAGCTACCTGGAGGGCAGAAGGCAGAGCAGGGAGGTGCTGGGACTGGGTCAGCAGCACAGGAGTTACCCTGCAGCGGGTAGGAGGAATCTGCTGGGAGGTGGGAGATGAATTCCAGACCCCAGAGGACAGACCTGGGAGAGGGCGTGAGCTCCCCTCTGCTCTCCTCCCCAGGGCTGGGCTGGACTGAGCTGACTCTGGGTCACCCCAGGTGGGGCCCAGACAGACAGGGGGCTGGGCGGGAGCTGGAGCCCACGGTAGGTTTGGGGAAGCTGGGAGCTCCGTCTGGAAGACACAACTGTTAGCCTTCCGGGGAGCAGTGCCCTCGGGAACCCAGCTGGGCTAGGGGGAGCTTGTTGGAGTGGGTCTCAGGTGGGTCTTGGCTGTGATGGAGCCAGATCCTTTTCATCAACAGGATGAGCCAGGCCGGGGTCTTCCCAGGGCTCAGGGAGGGAGCTCCTTATCAGAGAGACGTGAACAAGGGGTGGACTGCACTAGTCAAGTTTTGCAGAGGGTTCACGGACTGAGGAGCTGCCGTGCCAGACCAGTGGGCTCCAGGTGTGCTGCGAGGGACATCTATGTCAGGATCCCATGGAACGTCCACTAGAAATGCAGGTGCCTGGCCCCCAGTGCAGACCCACTGCATCGGAGCTGAATTTGCAACAAGCTCCCCAAACCTGAATAATGAGCTTCGAGAACCACTGGACCAGAGAGCCCTAAGGTCTCTTTCCCCGGGAGAATCCGGCCTCTGTTATTTGTGGACTTTCGGACCAGAGAGCAGTGCTCCTGAGGCAGGGTGGACATGGAGGCCGCCTCCGTGGAGGCCTCAGGAACCCGCCGGATGCGGTAGCAGGGATTAGCCCACCTGTCCTCATAGCCGGGGCCTCCTCACTCCCTGGGTCTTGCCCAATGAGACCACCTGTGCCTCAGGAGCAAGAGCCTGCGCACAGATGGGACCCTTCGGCCATACCCATGTCCCCACACACTCCCTGCCCTGATCCAGGCTGCTTCCCCGCAGCCCTCACCTACCCCCCGCCTTCTCCCCTCCCTGCTCCTGCCCCATCTCTGGAAAAGCAACACCAGCTTCCCAGGATCTTCTGCCAGCTCAGCTGCCATCCTGTCTCTCCCCGGGCACCGCTTCCTGTGGGCTGGGTCTGCACTCCAGGTCTCCTTCTTCACCTCCCTCTCCTTCCTGGCCCTGCTCCCAGCTGGCATCTACTCCTCCTCCCCACACACCAGGTCCCCACGGCTGCCCCTCACCTGTGCGTGGCCAAGGCCACGTCCTCTCTGCCAGGGACCTGAGCTCCCAAGACTGCAAGCGCTGGCCCAGCTCCCACCGACAAAGTGCCCAGAGGCAGTCCTCGCTAAGGGGCTCCGGGAAGGCGGGGAGGCAGAAGAATGGGCCATGAAGCCTTCCCGGGGTGGTGGGCCTTGCTAAGCTTGGGGGCTGGAGGCCTCCGGGCCAGGAAAGGACCCCAGGGAGCACCCAGGGGTCTGGACTACGGCCAGCCGGCCCCCTGGGTAGCTCCCCAGCAGAGCCAGATGGGTCCAACTATGGCCGAGCAGGCCCTAGCCCTCCCCTTTCCCCAACCCCTACCCCCAGCACACACAGCCCTACAAAGGGCGCTTCTGGGCCAGGTTAATCATTCCTGCGAACACAGACACTGGGGGACATGAGCGCAGTCTTCGCATATCTCTGGTGCTGTCGCGTGGAAAAGGGAGCAGCGCAGTGGGGGGCAGGCGAGGGCGCTGCGGGGGGCCGGTTTCAGCTCCCTCTGACCCGCCTGGGAGAACAGCTATGTGGGGTCGGAGGTAGCTCCCTGTGCCTGAAAGTGGGCAATTCCACAAAGAAAATGTCTGCCAACACGTTCCTCTTTCCCATTCACCTGCAGGGCTTTCCTGCAGGCTCCCTCATGTACCCCGCCAGGCCTGTATGGTTACCCCTTTTTACAGACAAGGAAACAGGCCCAAGGCCACTCAGCAGGTCTGTAGCTGAGTTTGGGCGGGAGCCCAGGTACCCTGTGTGGAGAGAGGAGAAGAGAAGACCTGCCCGCCCTGCAGCTGATACAGCCACCCAGAGTCAAAGACCCCGCAGGCCCGTCTACCCCGCTGAGCCTGGGCCCCGGGGAGGAGCAGGAGTGAGCACCCCTTCAGCAGCCGTACTCAAGCAGGCCTTGTCGGCTGATTAAGTGACTGCACTTCCCCACGGCCCTTTCGAACGCAGGTTCTAGGAGCCAGGATATCTCTGGGAGATGGAGGATGAGAAAGTGGGAACCTCTGAACTGCTCTCAGAATCCCAGCCAGCGGGCAAAGCTTCTCACATACCATCTCATTTCACCCTCACAGTAACCCATAGGGCAGTTTCATCCCCACTTGCCACGCAGGGAAACCGAGGCTCAGAAGCACTTGCCTAGGTCCGTGGTCGGCAAACCGCGGCTCGCAAGCCACATGCGGCTCTTTGGCCCCTTGAGTGTGGCTCTTCCACAAAATACCACGTGCGGACTTCGTGGCCCATGCGCAGAAGTCGGTATTTTGTGGAAGAGCCACACTCAAGGGGCCAAAGAGCCACGTGTGGCTCTCGAGCCGCGGTTTGCTGAGCAGCGGTTTGCCGAGCCGCAGTTTGCCAAGCCACAGTTTGCCGACCACTGGCCTAGGTCATACAGCCCGAAAGGGACAGCAGCAGGGCTGAAACCAGGTCTGTTTCTGGAACCCGAGCCCGTGCCCTGGCCACCCCATCCTCAGGACAGCGCTCAGCCAAGCTGCTCCGATCCCCTGTGCCCAGGGATGAGGGCTCTTGGGTGCCCCAAGGTCTGGGACCCTGTGTCATCCACAGGGCACAGCCCTTCAGTGCTCAAAGCCCTTCCCTGGTGTCTCCGAGAAGGAAGAAGGGAGACTGGGAAGAAGGGAGACTCTGGACCTAGCAGAGGGATGCGGTCAGGACAGCATCCGGCCTCATTACAGCCCCTGGCATGGGAGCTGTGATGGCCCAGACCCGCCTGGGCTCAGTGGCCAGAGCCCTAAAGTCCAGCATCCCCATCTACAAGCCCAGAGGGGAGGCCAAGGAGCCTGCTTTTTGAAAAGCAGTGTTGTCGAGAAAGAGGGTGGGAGGAAGGGAGCCCTGGAGTCAGAAAGCCTGGGCTCCGGTTCTGGCTCAGGGCCTTTGCATGCTGTGTGCCCTTCATCCGGGCCCTGCCCTCTCTGCGCCTCCATTTGCTCATCTGCAAAATGGGTGATAGAGGAGACGCTTATGAGTGTCAGAGAAGCCCATGGCCAAGGACCTATTCGGTGACCTCGGTCCCCTACCCCAGGGTCTCCCTCCCAACATCCAGGCCACCTAACAGCAGGGGTCCAGCCTGAGCCAGGCCGATTCCAGCTCCCGCTGCTCAAAGGCCCCAACACCAGCCCCCCACTCTGACCCCACACCTACCAGCAGGATATCAGCAACCACTGCCCAGTTGCAGGACAGAAGCAGCTCCCCAAGGGCCAGGAACACCTGTGGACAAAGGGCAGCGGGTGAGGCCCCTGGACCTCAGTCACCGGCCCCTCCGAGCAATGGCTCTTCCCGCTGCGGAGAGGGAGACTGAGGCTGCACAGAGGAAGGCCCATCAAGACTTACTGGGATGAGCTCAACCCCCAGTGTGGGGCGAGCAGGAGGAAGCCAATCGGTGAGTCTCTCTCATCAATGATGTTCCTCTCTCTCTCTCTCTTCCTCTCCCTTCCTCCCTGAAATGAATAAAAATATATTAAAAAAAAAAAAAGACTTCTTGGGATGGCTGAGTCTGGAACCATTTCATATTCCGGCAGCCTCAAGGGTGGGTGGGCATTCCCACGGGGCAGGCTGGCAGCCATGACCCAGAGGGGGGCCAGGCCCGGCCTGGGAACAGCACTCTCTCATGGGCAGCCCCCGGGTCCAGCACTTGAGGTCACCCCTGGGGCCCCAGCAGGAGGCAGCCAGGACTCCAGGCCACCTTTAGAGGGAGGACAACAGTCTGGGAGAGGGCAAAGCCCTTGCCTCCTCTCTGCTCCCCTAAGGCCTGTGGACACTGATCAGGTGCCTATTGTGTGTCCCCCACCCCCACCCCAATGTCTGCTGGTAACAGGAGGCCTGTCTCTCCCAGCTCCCTAAACCCCCTCCTCGTGCCAAAGGATTAGGACAATCCTCATTCCACTCACTCAAGAAGAGCTTAATGAAGCAGCAAGAAAGAGAAAAAGAAGTCTTATTTCTGAGTTTCCAAGAGCTTATTGGGGTGGAACTCGCCATTCCTGGAGTCACAGAGCTGTGCCCTGGGCAGCCCAGGCTCTGGCTTCCAAAGGCCTGTGAGCACCCAGGGCAGAGGAACCAAGGGCTCACTGCCTGCACACACACCTACTGTGTGCCAGGCAGGGTCAATCTGTCCCCCACCTAACCTCTCAGCCACCTCTTAAGGTAGATATTGTTACACCGATTTCACAGGTGAGGAGGCTCAAGCCCAAGGTCACACAGCAAAACCCTCTCTGGCAAGCCCCTCAGCCCTGTGGCTGGCCCTGTGCAAGGTGAGGGACAGGAAGCTGGGGGGCAGGGAGGGAGGCTCCACAGAGGCCTCAGCAGCCACATGCCCAGCGAAGCTGGCAGGAGAGAGGCAGCGGAAAGCCCAGGACGGGCAGGGCCCCGGCTGGAGGTGGCACTGAGCAAAGCCCTGGAGGGTGGGCAAGATCAGGGTGGGCTGAGAAGAGCCCACAGGCAGGAGGCAGCGGACCCGCTGGAGCAGAGGCAGAGAGGTGGGCATGCACACGCCGGGCGGGGCGGGCAGGAGGATGGCCCAGTGTGGGGAGAGGGCAGAACCCACCGAGGAGGGGGAGCAGCTGTGTGTTCTCTCATCTAACCAGGCCCTGGCCCTCTGCACCCAAACTGGGGAACCCTGAGGGCAGGGCGGGTCTCCCTCTGGGCCTAGGAGGGCTGGGCACCCACAGGGTGGGAGGCAGACCTGCTGGCAGGCAGGTCCCAGGCAAGGCCCAGGCAGGCCGCAGGCCCGCATTCCAGCCTGACAGGATTTGTCCCCCCAGCCTCCTGAGGCCACATGAAAGCCTGGGTTGGGCTCACAGCCACCTCCCCTCACATTCCAGCCGCTCCACCTGGACCGCCACCTCCAGCCTGTGGCGGGCACCCACCCTGGCACCGCACACTCTGCCTCTCCCTGCCCCCTCACAGCCACAGGACATGCTGAAATACACCTTTTCCTTCCTGCAGCTGGGCAGGGTGCGTCCCGAGCCCAGAATAGAGCAGATCAGAGGGAGGCTGCAGCCACAATGGGCCATTCAGGCTGAACGCAGCTGCCGGCGAGGGTGCCAGGTTTCCTGACACACCTGGAAACCGGCCCCAAGCCACCAAATCCTCTCCACACGGCGGCTGCAGGGGCCAAAGGCCGGGCGGAGACGCCGCCTCCCAATCCCACAATTACAGTCTCCTGAGACAGAGGCTCAAGGAGGGGCCCTCCAACAAAGGGGTGTGTCCTCCCCGTGGACAGGCCAGCCCCACCCTGCCAGGCCGGGCTACCCTGGGGAGGGCACCACCCTCTGGGCCTTGGTTTCCCCAGCCAGGCAGCAATCGGGTGGCCCAGACGCTCTGCCAGGCGCCTCCAGCCTGTGCTTCTACAGCTGGGACCCTCGCCGGGCACCGCTCCTGTTCCCCACAGGCTGCGTGCAGCTTGGGTCTGAGAGCTCAGGGGCGCCCGTCACCAGGTCAGACTCTGGTTCCTAAAACTGAGAAAGGGCTGTGGCTTGAAATGCAGTTGCCGTGAAGAATGTAGCCGACTGTTTGAAGCTACTCCTACGTGGTTGCCTCAGCCCCACAGGCAGGCACCTCCTGGTCACCCTCTCCCGATGGCCACAGGCTCCTCTCACTGACCAGGTCCCCAAACGTGCTGTCTCCTGCTGTGCCCCCACGTCGCTGTCCTCACTGGATGAGCCAGCCAGGACATAGGCTCCAGACAGATGGCCACCAGCGAGCCCCAGAGCTGCTCTCTGGGAAAGCCTGTTGGACGCCATCACTCAGGCCACACACGGGGAGTGGGAGGGGGAGCCCCCCCATACACGGCTCACCCTCACAGCCCTCCAGTCACTGAGTCCTGTCCATTCTGCATCCTAAACGTCTCTCCAATCGCCCGTCCCTCCTGCCCACTGCTGCTGGCCCGGTCCAGGCCTCCCCTCTCCCTCCTCCTCACCAGTTTCCCAGGCCCCACACCCCCGACCCAGCGCTGGAGGGGACTTCCAAAAGGGAAATCGGATTCTGCCCTTGTCCCCTCATCACCTCATCGCGCTCCCCTGCACCCTGACTGAGTCCCCCTGGGTGACAGGGCCTGGGAACGCTGCCTGGAGCCTGAGAACCGTGTTGCCTCTCAGCCTCTGGCCTTTCCCATTTCAGACTCAAGAGGATTCCCCCTTGATGACTAGCCCTGGCCTTGATCACCCCGTCCACGGAGGCAGGCACACACACACTCACACACACACACTCACACACACTGTGATGCAGGCACACAAGCACGCACAGACACGTGTGTATGCAAGACCTCACACGCGTGTACACAAGCTTCAGCACACATGCACAATCTCACATGCGCACA